CACGTCTCTCCCAGGAACTGAAGCTGCAGCACCAACCTCCTAATATTAACTCTCATTACAAAGGTCAATCCACCTCCAAAAGCGGCCTCGGGTTTCTGTGGGCGACGCTACTTCAAAGTCCCCCGGTGAGGAAAGGACCCCTGTCATGGTGTGTGGGGGCTCCTGCAGCCGCCCAGCTCATGTCCAGCTGGTGCACCAGTATGTGTGGCTGTTTCCTCGAAACTACACATGGTTCAACTCGTCCTTTTGTTCCTCCTAGATCTTGTATAAATCTAAACGGCTCCGTGTTGATTCATGCATGGCCTTGTAGAAGTCCACCAGGACCTAGGGTTTATTTCACTTTGATCCCAGCAGCTTTGGAGAGGACTTTGGTATGTTTACCCTCCCGTTATTCATCATGTATGCTCACGGTTTGTTTTTCCACTGTAGTCAATTGAAATTTCCCCTCTTTTTTTTTGGCAGCCTGTTTCAGAAATAGGCCAAAGGTGGTGGCAGGCTCCCTCTCCGGGTGCCCTTTGCTGGCAGTGGCACTGAGGACCTTGGGCTTCCTCCCGTGAGCTCACGGTGCAGTGAGGCCGGGGAGCCATCTCAGGCCATCGAGCCCGAAACAGCCCCCACATCAGGCAGGCTTAACCCCCGGCGCGTCCCGTCAAACCCCCGGCGCGTACCATAACCAAGCCAAAGTTAGCCCTAGCAGCATCGCGCCTTCCCGGCTCCAGGAGGCTGCTCTGTGCTTGCTTACATCAAGCCTGACTGTGTTTGGGTTTGGATTTTCCAGCCTCAGTCATTCAGCTCTCTGGGATTTAACCGGGGAAGGGTGGAAGCAAGGAGGGCAGAACTGCACTTTTCCCCCCAGAACGATGCATCCTCCCCATCCCACTACCCTCCGGCCTCACGTGCGGTGCCTGGCGTGAGGGAGCCGGGGCTGGCAAAGCAGCTCAGTCAAACACTGCAAGCAAGGCCATTACTTGTGAGACACGCTGGGAACCTACGTTTTTATCATGTTCTGTGGAATCTGTATTTGTTCAGCTCAGTAGTGACCCATGATTCTTGACAGGAGGATTATATATATGAAATGATCTTTCTTAAAAAAAAAAAAGGAATAATGATTAATTAACACTGTGGCTCAACTTCAACCTTTTCAGTTTCAGCCATCAGTCAGAGCACTGATTTTAAGCCCTTCCTTAAAACCTTTGGGAGATTTTTACCTCACAACACAGGGAAGGTCACAGAAAGCTTGGGAGAAAACCTGGCACTTGCCTACTCTTCCTTGTAAAATACAAGTGTTTCAGTGGGCAATTTGCAAGGCAGCACAAGGCTCCTATTGCAAATTGTGCCCAGGTCACTCTGTCCATATGATACTATTCTCTGGGTTTGCTTTTATTAACAGAGAAAACAAAATAAAAAAATGAATTAACCAGCAGCTCAAAGCATCCTCACACCCTTGCTTGAACTGTTAGCATCACTGATGCTCTTTCCCCAGAAAACTACTCCCACATTTTCCTCACGCCACCGGCGCGACGCCCGGGGCAGGTGTCATTTTTACCTCGCGCCTTTGTGGCAGGAGGCGCAGGGAGCCGGGCGCCCCCGCCACGGGCACCGCAGCGAGGGAGGGAGGAGGCGCCGCTACCGGCAACAGGAGGTTCCCCGGGCGAGCGGGGCAGGAGCCTCTGGTTGTGACGGGAGCGCCGCGCTCACCCCAGCTCACCTCACCCAGGGCACGAAGTGCAGCGGGCGCCTGCCCGCACAGCCGCCTCCATCCTCCCGGCGCCAGCACGAGCGGAACATCCACGTTCGCTCTGGGGGACACCAGTACTGCGGTGGCGTCGGAAACGGGGTAGCGATTCCTCTACCATGCACGTGGGGATGTGATCCTTTGGAAAACGACCATCTCTCACAGTAGTCAGGAGTTTCCCTGCTTGGAGTTTCCTTGCTTAGAGTTTCCTAAGGGGAATTTTATAAGTTAAAAAGAAATACTGTTATAAACATCCATTTTTAAACAGCAGTCCCCATACACTTGTAGCCCAGTGCCTGTATTTTGATCAACGACTGGAAGCTTAAGCCACCAGTAAATAAAACTGATAATCAGGTTTTTCCCTATATAGTAAAAATGTATTATCTTTAAAAAGCCTTAGCCACATACTTTTTTTTACATTTAAAAACAGAAGCTAAATGATCTCCTCTGAAACTTATTATTAAATAAGTAAACCGTCCCAGAGCGCGTTAGCCGGTAGGAAGATCTGAGAACAGCCCCGCGCCGCGGTCCCCACGGCTGCAGGAGCTCAGCTCTCCCAGGCGTTAGCGCCGCGCTCACCGCAGCGCGCGGCCGCGGCG